CTACATGATAATTTCGTCATATTTAATGTGCGATGCTGCGGAATTGCGATGCGGTGTGGCAGTATGGCCCATTCTTTCGAGGATTATTATCAGTGGGGAGCTCAAACGAAAGTCCGTGACTCAGTGTTGAATCTAAGCTTCTGTATTTCGAATGATCGCAAGGAATCTTGTTTGTCGTGTTCGATGCAGTCGGCGCCATGCTATACGTCACTGGATGTGGGAATAAGACGAACCGTTTGTGAACTGCAAGTACGTGGATGACGGTTCCCAGACGGCTGGCCAGATGAGAGCCGCGGAGTACTCTGTGAGCCGCCGCCCACAACCGTTTGACGTTCTGCTAGGAGAGCTCAGATCCGGCGGCACGCTCCCATGATCACTTGGCGACGGTGGCAGGTGACAGCCCGTTTATTGGCTGTCCACAGTATTGCCCATATGCTGAGTGTGCATTTAGAGTATGGCAGCTCAGGCCGATCCTTCCCGAGTCTGGCGCTCGAAATAGTTCATTCCACGAACCTCCAAGCTTGCCTCGCTAAGGACTCTCATCGGTGGCTTCCCATCGTTGGAGCATGCGCACTGCAGTGCCGATGATTTTACCTCACCCTTGACCCCAAGTCGACCTCGCTCAGCCGGCGGCGCCCCCGCGAGAGTCGGCTCGTTTGATCGGCACCTGCCGTCGGTCCTGTTTATTGGCTGGCGGTTATTTAACTGCTGCCTGCCTGCGGGGCTTCCAACGTGACTAATCCCGAGGCCGATCGGCCCGTATATCTGGCCGTTGTACCGTGCCGGTTGCTGCACTCGCGGTGCGAGACTGAGGAATGGTGTCCAGCGCGCGTGCAGGAGAACGCATGGGCATCACAATATGCGTCAATATGCGCATGGTGGTGGGTGCCACGACGTAAGTGCTACGCCGAAAATTCCTGCCGACAAGAGTAGTTCGCTTTCAGCTATGCGCGCCATTACACCTAGTGCTGAAACTTATGTACGGCATGAGTGCTATACGACGAAATGTAGGCTTCAAAAGCTTATACATGTCATTACATCTACCGCAAAAACTTATGCAGTTCTTATGTGCGACGTTGCTTCTGCTGCAAAAACTCATACATGATATGAATGCTACACAAACTACACTACACAGTTGTCTGCAAAAACTTGGACTCGTCATTACTTACACAGCAAAGACTTACACAACATTAATATACACGACATTTATACACATTAATTCTGTTACAAAAATGCTTGCACGGCGTGAGTACTATACAACAACACTCATGCTGAAAAATTACCAGCCATTACTTCTACAGCAAAGACTTGACCAAAGTCGCTGCTGCAACACTAATGTCGCGTTTAAAGTCTCCTGCGGTAGAACCAATGCCGTGTTTAAGCAATGGTTGTGTAAGTTTTCGCAGTAGAGGTGAGGACTGTTTATGAGCTATAAGCTTTGTCGTGTAGCACTTATGCCGCGTAAAAATATATGTAGTAGAAATAAAGCCATGTATAAGTAATGACTGCATATGTCTATGGTAGAGGTAATACGAGTGTACATTTTTGCGGCATTTTTTCGCGTAGCTCTAATGTCGTGTGTAAGCATTGGCAGTAAAAGTAATGTCGTATAACTTCTGTCGGTAGGGATGTCGTTGTAGCTATAATGTTGTGGAACCCATAGTGGTGGACGGGCGGCTTCCCTGACATAATTTCGCATGAATTCTTGCAAGGTGTATTCTTCGCTGTGAAATGCTACAACACAACGCAGCTGTCGTGTGGCGTGATGGTCGCTGCCTGGGCCATTAAGCTTTTGACATCTTTGACGTTTGTTGCACTGAAAGACGTCCAGAGTCTCTGACTTTGGCATGTTGAAATCAGTGATTTTGGAGCGAAAGTTATGCTCGAATCTGTGTTGCGTTGGACTCCGCGCCCGCACAACAGGCAGACTATTACACATCCGTGTCTCCTCATTCTGACTTGCTGACCGTTCATCATATCGTTCCGGGAATGACGGCCAGGAGTCACGACCGCATTAGGAGACGTTGTGCAGGCTGTAGATGGCACGGCGTCCCATTAGTTTGTTCCCGAAGCTAAAATGAATGGTTTCCGCACGCTGCAGCTAGTGCCCGTCAAAGCTCATTGTAAGTTACACAGCCATGTGAGAGCCCAGTTCGCTCATCACCGACCCGTTTGCCGTTCGTGGGAGGGCTCTTCTTCCCGGACCTGCCTCGGGATATAAGTTCCGTTGGTCATTTCTTGCGGGGTAATTGCCGGATCGTGTGTTCCTAATGGCTTAATAATTACCACTGTGATGTGCTAGAATTGAAAGCAACCTTCACTTGTGTCTGTTTCTGTAGTAGCATCGCTTGGCGTCCCCGTGGGAAGGCAGGTTGCCGAGCGAAGATGCCACCTCCGCCCGTCCGCTGCGGTGAATATCCCCGAAACCGTGGTGCTCGGGACGTCCGGGATGATCGATGCGATGTGCCACGGCTTGGGTGGACGCCTCGCGCAGCGTCGCGCCCTGAGGGCGTTGTAGTGAGATGGCTCCTTTGTCACGGTCGGCTTTTGTCCGCCCATCTCGCAGTCACAGTGTAATGCATCAAAAAGAGCGTGCATGGCCGCTGAGAAGCAGGACAGAACGAATATGATTATGAAGCAGTGTGCGAAGCATTGGGCCACGCCTCTGTAATCCGGCACTTACGATGCGTAGAAGCGGCGTCCAATGCAATATCCATAGCATCTCAAAACAAACAACTCGAATCGGCCCTTCAAAAGTTATCGTGGCCGCCGTGAATAAGGAATTACATTTACGTAAAACGTGTCTTGACCACTTCCAGCGTAGCCATTGGGATCCTGCGCCACATGTCTCCGTGGCTGAGTCACCGTGCTTGCCTGCTTGACGTTTCCACTGTCGCGCTGGCGACCCAGCTCTGACTCGAGTGTCCCTCCGGAGTGCGGCAGCCGCGGCCTGTGTGACGGCGGCACTCAGTGGCGCTTGACGTGACGGGTGCGAGGGGCGTCCGTTCTCCGTGTGTTCTCCGCCTGTTCTCCGCTCGTTCTCCGCGCGTTCTCTGCCTGTTCTCCACCCGTTCTCCGTGTGTTCTCCGCCTGTTCTCCGCTCGTTCTCCGCGCGTTCTCTGCCTGTTCTCCACCCGTTCTCCGCATGTTCTCCGCCCGTTCTCCGCTCGTTCTCCGCGCGTTCTCTGCCCGTTCTCCACCCGTCCTCCGCGTGTTCTCCGCCCGTTCTCCGCTCGTTCTCCGCGCGTTCTCTGCCCGTTCTCCACCCGTTCTCCGCCAGTTCTCCACCTGTTCTCCGCGTGTTCTCCGCCCGTTCTCCGCTCGTTCTCCGCGCGTTCTCTGCCCGTTCTCCGCCCGTTCTCCGCCGGTTCTCTGCCCGTTCTCCGCCCGTTTTCCGCCGGTTTTTGCGTGCAGGGCCCGGCTGCAAGATAATGGATCAGGTCTGATGAAGCCATTAAGTCGGCGGTCGCTCCATGGGGCAGCGCGAATGAACGGGTGCTTGTTGTGTCGTTGGGGTCTGATGTAGGCAGAAGCAAGCAATGATGATATATTTCTTAGAATGGATTTTCCTTTCAAAAGGGCACTGATGACGGGCTTTAAGTTGAATGTTGCACTTAATCATGCTCCAATTTTAATTTCGATGTCAGTTATTATTTTAATACCATATGCACTTGTTCTCACCATGAACAGTCGTAAATGGCGCGCTCGTTGCAATTTGGCCACGGCCATTGTACAGTAGTATGCGAATGAGCACTAGTCTCAGCGTCAGAGCGCTTACCCGAACTCAAGGGCCATTGAAATACCTGCGCGAACAATCACTAGTTATAAATGGCTTGAATATTAGTAGTTTTACTTCATGCAATCATGTAATACCGTCACGACAAATTTGTTTCAACAGTCTTTATTTTGCTGTGCATCTGCGGTGGGGCGGTCACGCCGGGAGTCCATGATGCAACTCTTACATCACGAGGCCGGCGCTCTGCTCACCGGCTGGGCGCTCCGCCGAGCATCTCTCTGGGACGTCAAAAGGCCTGTTTGCACTGCTGATGCGTCGCGGTCAAGGGAGATAAAGGTGAAATGCGTGCAGCCTTCACTCGTCAGGACTGCAGCGAAGCTGCACATGAGGCACGCTAACTCAATGTGATGGGGGTTGGGTGGTACAGGACAGCAACGCTTAACTCATTCGTGCGATACTTTCGTCAAAACCGCCATCGTGTGCCTCCGTCCGGCACCACCCGGTGCAAGGCTGTGCTTCTTAGCTACCGACGTCATTAAACCGGATTTCTGAACCGCACGAGCAGCTCGACATGCCCACACATGAGGCTGGTGGGCCCCGGGACACGGGAGACCGTTCTCGCGTGCCACGTGTGTGTGTGTGCGTCTGTGTGCGTGCGCGCGCGCGTCCTGCGCGGTGCCGCGGCGGCCGGATGGTCGGCCAGGCCACCGCAGCCTCCCACGCGTGGCCGCAGTGGTCGCGGCGGGCCCGGCTCGCCTGTGACTGAGCCACCCACCAGCGCTGTGGCGGGTCCCACCTTGGTAGCTTGTGGAGACTGGGAACGAGCTGGCGGTGGTGCTGTCGCCCGTAAGAGCTGGTCCTCAGAGGGCCTTTGTTGCAAGAGGCCGCCCCCCCATCCCCTCCATCTATTAACGAAATATGTGGCACCGGTTACGTTTTGGGCGGTAAGCTGGGTTTATAATATCTGTGAAGCCGGGAACGCTATAAGTGTGTAGGGTTATCGCCAGGATAGGACGCCAGGGAGGGCAAGCTACCGCCCAGTTGGCTCGGAAGGAGGGAGGGGCATCACCGTCGACCTGGGAGGTCAACCCATCAACGCTAAGAGGCGTTGGCGCTAAGAGGTCACGTCTGACCTCAGGGGCCGTAACATCTCCCTGTATCCGGGATTAGGCACGCCCCACATCCGTGGTAGATGAATCTGCCATTGCGATGTTTCGGTGACGTGCCGACGTCGAACCAACGTGCTGTCTTTGCCTGCTTCCAGGACATTTCCTGGGGAACTTCACCGTTCTGGAGGTGCTCAGACAGGCAGGCTACAAAGTGACGAAAGTCGGTCCCAGGGAACGCATACGGAGGTGAGACGACTTGGCCGATGGTCGGGACAATACTGCTCTCTTGTTCCCCTTTTAAAAGAACTGGTTTGCTTACAACATTGCTGCAAGATGCGCGACGAGACCCCACCACCATGGACCCGATATGGTTTGCATTCACAACCCAGACCAGCCACGGTAAGCTTTGCGCGTGATAGAGACCATTGACACATCGTGACCCGGTTCCCAACTGTCAGTGGAGTGAACCGGCCCAGTTATCACACTGTGCACGAAGTGGCATGAAGCGTCACAAATTAGTGTCACGCGGCGTTCAGAATGACGAACTCTGTCGTTGTTGACGCGGCGCTTTTGCCAGGTTCAATCGTCGGAAGAAGCCAGACGACCAGGAGTTGGACTTCAGCGGCTTCCCGCCGGCTGACAAGTTCGGTCAGCAGAGCGTGAGCTCGGGGCCCAGTGGCGCCACCTCGCCCACCGTCGACGGCGCCACCTTCCAGTCCACGCGGCCGTCCGCGCCCGCCGGCAAGAAGTCGTACCTCGAGAACTTCAGCGACCTCTGGGTCAGGATCGACGATGCCTCCAAGAGGTATAGTCTAAAGCGTCGATAATGATGTTTGTAGCTGTCCCGTTTCCTCGTGTTTTCTTTTTTTACATATCATATTTTACCCTCGGTCCTGATCAGGATCTCCTCAACCAGCCAGCTGAAGGTCCGTTCGGTGTTTGTTTTGCAGCCAGTCGGCAACGGACTCAGCAGACGTCTTGGCCGCGGAGAATTCCGTCCGGGTGTGGTTCGGACTGCCGCCGGACCCATCCGCGCGCTCCGCCTGCGCCATCCTCGCCCCGTCCGCGGCGTTGCTCGTCGCCCTGCTGCTGCTCGTGGTGACGCTGTCGCCGCCGCGGACTTCAGCTTCCGAGACTGCCGGTAAATGGCAGTAAAGCGCGAGGTGTCACGGACGAGCTCACGAGCCGTTGCGTCGGTGGCGGCGTGCTGCACGGGGAGGCGCGCGGCTGCAGTGGTGGACCCTCACATTGCTCTAGTCGTGCTGCGCGCTTCTCTCGCCAGCTGACTACCGCGCCGCAGGCAGACGCCGTGCTTCTCGAAGACTTTCGCTAGAGCACGGAGAGCGGCCATTGTGTGGCTGAGGTGCCTAAGCAGACTCAGCGGCTGGTCAGCGTTTGCTTCAAGTTGGCGCGGCGACATTCATCCGTTGTAGGATGATGACGACGCCGGCGTGCAGGCCTGTGGGGCAACAGTGACTGTTTTGGCTTGCAGATCGATCGCCGATCACGACCGCCAGATGGCCATGGCTATGTTTGTCGTTGTTTTGTATCCCGAGAGTTTGACCAGCGCGTCGCATGCCTGACATATGCGCATCGCTTATGCCCCGAATTGTTTCCGAATATAATGCATTACAACCCTCCGCGCGTTTGGCATCGCGCTATGGTTGGTTTACCAGCAGGTTGTCATCTGTCCCCACGTTGCTGTGCTGTAGTGAATATCTTCGTGATTTGCCTCTTCAAAACTTCGTACCATAATTTCCGGAAATTTGGCTTGAGGGGCCTGTTCTTCACTGGCAAGTAAAAACCTATCCCCTGTTTCGGGGTAGGCCCATTTCCAACCTATGACGTTATGGTCCAAACCCATTGTTTGCTACTGGGCCGAGATGCGAAGTAATCGCGTTTGTTTGCAAGTAAGCTGTCTGTTGACTTAGTAACGCCTAGCAGCTATCGATGTGCTGTCGACTGTCTCTTGTGTCCGGCAAACAAGCGGGTTTCGATCGCATGTGGAGTGTGATCGGCCAGGATGTCTTCAGCCACAAAACTTGCCAGAAGCTGGTCATTCGGACAATATTTAGGTGCATCAACCCTGCGCGCTTTAAGTCACCATTATCTTTTAATTTAATTAATTAAATTAAATCAGCTGTTTTTACTCGTGCCTTCGTTCGAAATTAAGGCGTTCGTCAAGTGCGCTTATCTGTGACGCCACATGGTGTCACCTCAGTGGGCGGAGCTTCCGTCGAGGGCGATAAAGAACTGGGCCCAGGCCGCGCGGCGCAATTTTATGGAGCAAGCGGATGCTCCACGCTGCGGGAACATTGGACGTTTCAGTTTACAGAGGAAGCTTGCTTCATCGTCACACACGATCGACTTTATCCAGATATATATTCGCACCAGTACGCTTTCGCAATAAACAATATTGTTCGGAATCACGGCAGGTCAGTACCCTGTCGTCAACACAAACCTGATCCTCGTGAGTGGAATACGGCTCAGCGCGCTTAGAACGCAGTCTGGGTTCCTGTTCCGGGCACGCAATAGCGACAACCGCAGACGGCACATCGGCGGGGCTGTCTGTGAGCGCAGCGTCTGGCGCTCACGAGCAGACCACAGGAGAAGTCGCGGGTCTTGGTTCGGAGTTTCGACCACCAGAGGCGCCAGTGTTTTCCTCCGTTCCATTCCATGCCTTGAGGACACCCTGCAACTCCCGCTCCGGTCTGTTGTAGCTCGCACTAGATGACGGAAGTCGGCAGCCTTGGGATGTAAACGCAGAAAATCTCTAGGACTATCCCTATTATCCCTATGGTGTTAGGGGGCGATGGGGGCATTTTTGACGCTTGAAAACTCCCTCTGTCACTATCAGATCGGGAGCAAGTACCAGAGAGCGGTGTGGTACAGACAACACAGCCGGAAGGCTTCTCTACGCGCAGATCCTCAGAAACGCGGCAGCAATGGGAGGAAACCGTCCAGAAGCTACCAAAAGCTAGACAAACCACAGAACCGAACATTGGGAGCTTTCCACGCGCAAAGCGCCTCACATAACTGACCTCCACTAGTCTACCGCAACAGAGAGAACATGACGACGGTGTCACCATCAGCCTGGAATGTCTGGCACCCTAACCGTCCGCGATCGTGCTTCGTCTCCAGCTCCGAACCCAAGCCAACCAACAAGCCAGCCGCACATAAAACAACGGCACCGCACGCCACCACGCGCTCTGCTCATTCCTGTATCACATGGCCGCCGCGTCCGCACACGTGCGTCCCCCCGGCCGGCGCCGCTCAGATCGAGGCTTTGCTGCCCTGCCACTGGTAGGTGCCCGTGTACTTGAAGCCCATGCGCTGGCTGAGCTCGTCGCCCTCCTTCGGTCCCCGGGAGCCGAATCTGAAACGGACGGCCGGTCGGTCAGCACGAGCGGCCGGTCGGTCAGCGCGGGCGGCCGGTCGGTCAGCGCGGGGGGCCGGTCGGTCAGCGCGGACGGCCGGTCGGTCAGTGCGGGGGGCCGGTCGGTCAGCGCGGGCGGCCGGTCGGTCAGCGCGGACGGCCAGTCGGTCAGCGCGGACGGGCGTGGCCCCTCGGGGAGACGCACGAGCTGGATACCAGACGAGGTGCCGAGGCGGTAATCCTGACACGCACTGGCAGCTTTAGGGCCGGCAATTACATTCCAGGGCACAAGCTTGCTGCAATAAATATTTATAACCTACGTAGCCTCTCCTGAATCGAACCATTCCGGAATCTCCTCTTGATATATTCGTCAAGGGTTCGTCAATTGCCAAAACGTGACCAACAGTATGTCGTTAGGACACTGAGCAAAGTCTGTGCGCTGGGCGCCTCTGGACTCGAGCCAAACAGCGGCGCGCGACAGGTTGTCTGAAGGTGTTCTTACTCACTTGTACGGGACGGGTTTGGGCTTTTCCCGCTCAATGGTGTGCAACAGCGGGGTGAAGATGCGCCAGGCCTCGGCCAGCTCGTCCGAGCGGACGAAGTGCATCTGAGAGCCGCAGAATACGTCCAGGATCAGACGCTCGTACGCGTCCGGCAGCTTCAGGTTCTGTGGAACAGACAGCGCCGGTCAATACCTGCGCCGCGGCATCACAGATTGGCAAACAGGTGGGGGAGATTATCAAGGGATACAGACGGCATTGCCTACAAGACACGGGGTGTGTCGAGTAAGATATGGGGTGTTTGGTAGTAGAATCAAACACAACAGGAAGAACCGAGCACATCAACTCGACATCAACTGGATCGAACACATCGCACAAACACCCACGTGGCACGGGTCTGTGCAAACGTAATACCTCCTTCCAGGGGCGGGATTAACGGCAGGCCACGAGTCAGTGACCGGTGCACTGGAGCAATGCGCCAGTGGGTTTATCGGCATTCGTTGTGCTAGGACGTTTGATCTGCACCGCAGGCATTCGAAACCGATCCCGGCCCGGCTCTGCCGTCTCCCGGCTGCTACCTACTGCGTCTGAGATGGAGGCCGGTATGAGTACCGGTGTCAGGCTTTTAAAGCCAACGCTACATCTCTGCGAACCTGGCACCCGTGGTACATACGCCTCATGCCTCTGCGGTCATGACTCCCGCGGCACCATCCGCGGGCCTCCAACACGAGCAGGATCGCCGTGTCGTCTGTGCCGGGACCTCGCCCTGCTCACCTTGTAGCGGGCGCCGTAGGTGAGATCAAGCTCCGTTTCCTCCATGTCGAACGTCATGCCCGGCTTCTTGGTCATCATCTTGATGTAGACAGCCTCGCCGGGCTGCACGCGGATCACCAGCTCGTTGCGGAGGCACTGCCCGCGGAAGATGTCGCCCGCCACATCCCGGAACTGGATCCGCACCTCCGCCTTCCGCTCGTTCAGCGCTGCCGGTGCCGCGCGCGGTCAGACAGTGACGTCACGTGGTGACCGCAGACGCCACAACGTCACGCCGGTCGTGTGACCGCTGCGGACTTAACGTGACAGAAAATGAGCAGCTCATAAAACTGCACACTCGTAATGAGCAGTGTCACAATCATTAAATAACGCGACGTTTATGTAATATTCACTGTTCGTTTTAATTATTGTTTCGACGCATGCGCAATTAGCTTAGGTCACAAGCGTAAAATTGGCAACATCTTTGCAGTTCTGCATCTTTTTAGAAAACAAAAGTTAAAACGGTTTTCGACTGGCTGGCTCAACGTTTGAACGCCTGGTGTATTCTGTAAGCAATGCTAGTATTCTTAATCCCACTGAAATTACAAGTTCTGACAGTTTTACCGACTAGTTAAAAACATCTGTACTTATTAACTGAATGCCATGAATAACATCCATCTCCCGCCTGAACTCGGCTGCCAGGTACGCTCGTGACTGGGCCACTCCTACGGTACTTGAGTTGGCAGGGCGCCCCCACCAGCCGAGCGGGGCAGGCCGTACCTTTGCCGCAGCGGACGATGAACGGCACGCCCTCCCACCTCTCGTTGTCGATGAACAGCGCCGCGGACGCGTAAGTCGGCGTCACAGAGCCCTGCCGACACATGGCAGAGGTCAGCAGACGGGCAGAGATTAGCGGACGGTCAGAGGTCAGCAGACAGCCGTGGTCAGCGGAGGTCCGAGGCCATCAGAGGTCAGAGATCAGCGGACAGTCAGGGATTACCAGAAGGTAAGGGTCACAGGAGGTCAAAGGTCATCAGACTGTCAAGGGTCAGCGGAGGTCAGGGGTTACCAGACGGTCGGCGGTCGGCAGACGGTCAGGGGTCAGCAGACAGCAATGGTCAGAGAAGGGTATAGGTCACCAGACGGTCAGGGGTAAGCGGACGGTCAGGGGTTACCCGGCGGTCAGAACCAGTGGACGGTCACGGTCAGCGGAGGTCAGAGGTCATCAGATCGTCAGGGGTCAGTGGACAGTCAGAGTTCATCAGACGGTCAGGGATAAGCGAAGGTCAGAGGTCATCTGACTGTCAAAGGTCACCAGACAGTCAGAGGCTAACGAACGGTACGAACGGTCACGTCCTCAATGTGGACATGCGCATGCGCGCTCACCTGACGCCACAACACCGTCACAGGTCAGTTGAGTGTGAAACATTCGAGATGAGGGTGCCTTGGTAGCTGGTGCCAGTAGTTACGAAGCATCGATTCGCTAGCCCCAAGCCGAGCCGGTGCAAACGACGTACCCGAAATAGCGCTGGTGATAAGCGGCGGTAAATTTTGTATACGCGATCTACCTAAAGCAGTGACTGTCGTTGTTTTGGGCTAAAAAAGAGCGTCCCGGACGATCACAGCCAAAATCAACAGAAGCACGAAGTACATCCTAACCTGCCTGCACAAACCCGCACAAAGATCACTCACGTCCTCATCAACGCTCGCACGGACGGCGAACAACGCAGAGCCAGCGCCAACCAAGTGGTGCGAACTGTGTCGATGCATAACGTAGCAATCATCCACACCCTTCCCTAATACTGCCGGCAGCGCCACGACTGGCTGCCGCCGGGACGGCGCCGCGGCTCGGGCGTCACCTTCGGCACGGTGGGGTCGTCCAAGTAGCCCATCTTGGCCTCGCCCTCGCCGTCCGGGTCGCCGACGTACTGTCCTAGAACCACGTCCTTCAGCTCCAGCTCCCGCGTGCACTTCAGCACCTTAACCTGCGCAGTGGTGGCCGGCGTCAGGAGGGCGGCTGGTGCGGCTCGGGACAGAGGCCTCGGGGATACGTGACGCTTGCCACGGTCCGAGATAAGGGGTAGTGACGCCAACAACCTTGAATGGGACACTCAAGGATTGTTTTCAACGTGAAACGTAACGTGGATATCGAGGATTGTTTTCAACGTAACGTGAAACATTTAGAATTTATTCAGCCAACAACTAATCAAAAGGAGTTAGCCTCATAACGGTGCCATAATGTGTTAACAGTAGCTCCATAACAGCACCACGACATAATTCGAATGCCATTTGGCTTCCCTAGACGGTGCACCTAGGAGCGCTCACCTTCTCGTCGCGAATGTCATCAGCAGTGGAGGAACAAGGCTTTTCCATGGCGGCGAGGCACAGAATCTGCAGCAGGTGGTTCTGCATCACGTCTCTGAAAGGTACAGCGTCGTTAGCCACGCACGCACCATTGAAAATATCCAGACGGTGTCAAACACATTTCATCACAAGTGAAAAAGGAAAAGATGGGTAAGAACGGGGCTGCGGGGGAGTCTGACAAAGCACCAATCACGTTTCGCGGCATCGGCAATCCCGCACGACCATCTAGGAAAGAGCCGGCCAAGAATGGGAGCGTGGACAGCGGCATACGTAATGGAGGAGGCAGCATGGTACGAGGCGGCTCCTAAACGCGGCTCCAACTACGGCACCCAGTCAGCAAGGAGCAGCCAGACAACACAGCGAGAAACACGCCAATCAGCGGCGATCGATGCCGTCAGTGTCCCAATCAGCAGCGATCGATGCCGTCAGTGTCCAGCACTAATGGGGCTGCCCGCCATATCTCTCCCCGCCGAGGAGTAACCGCGGCTCCGGCGTCACTCCGCTGCTGGCCCAAAGGTGCCTCCATCGGTGACCTCAGCCGCGCACCTGATGATGCCGAACTCGTCGAAGTAGCCGCCGCGACCCTGCGTGCCGATCGCCTCCTTGAAGCTGATGTTGACGCAGGCGATGTGGTTCCGGTTCCAGGTCGGTCCGAAGATGACGTTGCCGAATCTGCCGGTGAGGTGGCGATGAGATGAAAATCTTTGGGTGACCCGCGCGCTGTCGCTTTGGGAACGCCTTGATCGCTTCGTAACACAGAAAAGCTACGGCCACTGAACACCCAATGACCATCTCCAATACTGGAACAGACGTTGGCCTGTTAAACGGTTTCGGAGCCCTTTGTGAAAGAGCCAAAACAACTAAGTGACAAAAATATGCATCCGCTTTTAAATATCGTAAGGCGAACATGTGGCAATTGTTATCAGCACCAAACGCTGCGGGTTAAACGACAGCGGACTTCATTTTCGACCATCGCCGAACCCCCAGCACATTGCATTCATGAGCCATGCCTAAAGCCATCCGGTGAACCCGAGCGTCTCAACACGGCTGACCTCACCTGAGCGTCATCAGGTTCTGGACCATCTCCTTGCCAAGGTAGTGGTCGATCCTGTAGATCTCCTCCTCCTTGAAGAGCGAGGCCAGGTGGTTGGAGAGCTCGGCTGAGCTGGCAGCGTCCCGACCGAACGGCTTCTCCACGATGACGCGGGTCCAGCCCCTGCCAGACAGCGGCGGCCCGTCAGTCGCCGGACAACACTGACGAGCGAGCACCGCCGCACATGGTGGGACTTGCTGCGCGGAGAGCAGCGGAAAACATGCGGAGTTGGTCGCGACGTGATCACTTTTCCCAGCATGCTTGAAACCAAGGAACCAGCGGCATCATACGGCAAACAATGTGCCCGGCTGGTGTGGCTTGCCGCTGGCGGCGGGTCTGAGTGTGTTGGGCAGATCTGGCCGTTTTTCCAGCGTGCGAATCGCACCACGGCAATTTCGGCCTCACCATTCAATGGAAAGCTGTCTGCATAACGTGGTCAGCGTGATCCACGACCGATGGATCTGCGTCAGCATTCGTTAGAGGGAATAAAAACTGGGGCAAAAAAATAAAGACGTACTAAATAACTAACTACTTCAAAGTGAGAGCCCGATGCTCTTGCTGACAACCATGCCGGTCGGACCCAACAGACAGAGAGACGTGCCCTTAGCAACAGAGCGCTCCATGACAGCACCAGGCGGGACAGAGGTAACAACCGCCGCTACCCGTCCGCGTGCCACCGGGCCGGGGTCTGGCGAGGGCCGACCATGCTGCGGAGCGATAGCCCGTGCAAAGGTGCAGGGGGATCAGTACAGAACATCACACCCCCTAACCCTTGTGATAGGAACGTGCGATAATGCTCTCTTCTGACCTGTCTTCCTCCGTGGGCCGTCTGGGAAAACGTCAGGCTGGCGTATTAGAATATTGGCATAGAGAGAAGCGGTTATGTCAAATTCATGCGATCGAGCCCGAGGGGACATTTTTTCTGAATCACGAAATGTGTGTAAAACAGCACAAAATGGCGAAAACTTTTACGTAATCTGAGCTTGAGCGCTATGTCATAATGTGCTTTCAATCTGACCGTTATGCCATGCAGAGCCGCCCAGACGCTCCTCTTAGCAAACGTCTTTACAGAGGTGTGCGACGGCGTGGCATCGTCACACCCAAGACCGAACCCCGCTTCCACTGAACAGCTGACTTCCAGAACTGGAGCTGGCTCCAGGAATCCCACGGCGTGCAGCCAACCGCGACGGTTTCCCTGACCCGCGACCGCGCAGACCCGTCGTCCGGGACCACAAGCATCTGCTGCAGCCGCCACTGCAAGCCGCTGCCTCCGGATGGGCTGAGGCCACTAGATCCAGCCATGCCTGACTCAGTGCACCGCCCGTGCGCCACTTTGGGGAGCGGTTAACCGCTAGCCAATCCGAAACAAGGGCGCATTCCCGGTCAGAGAACGGCTGCCACTTCGTTTGTCGCTCTGAACGGTTCAATTTCTCGCTATAGCTCCGGTTCACAGCCCCCATCAGATTCCATGCCGCAGAAGGCAGGAAAAAGACAACGGGGGAAGGGGGTCCACTGTCGCGGCGAGTCGACTCACTTCTTGCCCATGCACTTGGCCTTGATGTTGGTGGTGACGGGGGCGAACACGGACGGCGGCAGCGCCAGGTAGAAGAGCCGGTTGGCCACGCTGCCCGTCTCCAGCGCGCCGATCGCCTTGTCGAGCGTCGCGAACGCCGCAGGGTCGTCATAGCCGCCGGCCACGTACTTGTTCACCTTCCAGAAACTCTCGTAGCGCTCCTCGTCCTCCGGCCGCACCTGGCGGCGAGAATGAGAACTACTCGTCACGACGCGACCGTGGAGCGACAGGGCACCGATGTGGTAAAGCTGGCGTGATTGGCCGTGCCTGCCACACTGGTGTAATCAACAATGTCGTGCGTCACGATGCCTCCAGGCGAGCACGAGCGCGACGAGCACACCCCACACCCCAAGACACCCCAAGCACGACAAAATACTTTGCGGCCAACACAACGCAGCGTAGATGTGCAAGGCAACCCAGATTACACAGCCTTGCAACGTGTCACTACGCACATGTAAGGTGTCACTAAGTAACGGCATCTTCACAGAGGTCAAAACGATTCGACGTTTTGCCCCCTTTATTATATGTAAGCAGCGTCCCCCAAACAGTTCGAATGGTTCGATGCGTTCCCGCGTTCATGCATGTGAACAGTCATTCGTCTCTGGCAAGGGCAAACCGCTGCTTTCGCGGCACGTCACGTCCGCCGAGCTGTGAAACAGGATGTGTGGATCGTGACAACATGGGGCAACGCTTGCAGAACCCCGTCCGCGTGACAACGTACGACACCGCTCGCCACCCCGATGGAGTTCAAAATCTCCACGAACATTGAGCAAAGGGGTAAAGGAGCTATTGGAGCAAAGGAGCTTTTGAGTCGTCGGCACGTTCTTATATGGTTGCAAAAGGACAAGGCTGGCTTACGCCAGTTCTCACGGGCATGCAATCCTGAACGCTCAGCTCGGTGCTTGAATACAACAATAAGCATTCACACAACGTGGGCTAATGTGTGCGTGCCGCCGGCCCATTTTCGCGCGCTACTCCTGAAGACCGAGCGGAGCGGCGATTTTTTCTCAGAAGTCGAGCGGAGTGGCGACACTCGTTCAAGAGTCGAACGGGGCGGCAACATTCGCTCAGGAGTCGAGCGGAGTGACAACACTCGTTCAGGAGTCGAGCGGAGTGTCGATGCTTTCCAGGAGTCGGCGCCGTCGCCGCGCCGCCGGCGTTTGTCCCGTGTGGCACCTCCGCAGCCCGGCGCCACGTCAGCGCCGCCTGCGACAGCCGGGCCCGACCGCGGCCAAACAGTGCGCCACCGACACGGGCTGGTGCTCCGCCTCGGAGCGGCTCCGGCTGGCGTACAGCCCACAGCACAACCTCCCAGCAGCACGGCGATGACGTTCGCCGTGCCCGCGGCCAGTACCGGCTCACGTGCATGGCATGCATACAGCCGGCACTTGATACCGCCGCCAGGCGATTACCTGCAATTCGCGCGATGAGTATTGCATGCATGCAGGGCTCGTTTGCTAATGGCCTGCCCCCGTGTGAGCACGCCATGTCTCTCATTTGGCGCCGCCGACCGGTCCGACTAACGCCCAGGCGGCAAACAAACGATCAACGTAACACCGAGTCGCACGCAAAAACTACAAGCAAAGCAGGGATTTCCGATTGGTGCGCTAACTAAAGCCTCAAAACTGCAGCGACGGCTGCTTGCTCAGATCGGTTTGCCAAGTTATGCTTTGAGGGGCGACCTGACGCACTGGCCAGTGATATTCGATCGGAAGAGATGCTGTCTTTATCCTGATAAAGTAGGAGGGCATGTGGTCGGATTTGGCGCAGTGTGCAGTTTCCCGGGCTCCGTTTTCTCCCAGAGATAACGCCTGCCACAAGAGCGGTGTTCCTGAGACCGCCGCCAGCCGCCGGCATTGTCATGGACCATGACTCATCATGGCGGTGGCAAGACCCCACGGACCACGAGGAAATGACGGCGATGTATGAACAGTGCATTCACAGACCACTTAGCTATTCAAATCTTCTTCTGCATACAGTCACGAGTCACCGGTCATCTCATGGGCTACAAAACATGTTTTGCCAGCCTTCGCCCTGTCTGAACTCCACGTGACCTCGGTCTGCCGTATTCCCGGCAGGGGTAGACTACCTGTTGTTACCTGAAACGCGTGCCCCTTTTATATGAATCTAGAAATAGTTTGCGGTCTTCGAAGCTCACAACATACGCCAAAATACAAAATAAGTGAGAACAGTAAGGCCGATTAAGGACACACAAACTACTCAGGTGACAAAATATGGCAAATGTGCGCGCCTTCCTGGGCCCCAGTTCGTCACCATAAAAATAACCCTGTCTAACGTATGACATTTTCCATAGCCGTCCAGAATGCTTTGTAGCCAACAGCCAAAAAGTGTGTTTTTATTACAGACCATCAACGTTTTTCCCATTTCATCTCAAGTAAGTTTGTCGGCCATATTGCCATAACTCATCCATGATTAGAGCATTTGCGGCCGCCAAACGTTTTGGCCATTTCACTGCATGGGCCCTCCCTACTAACTCGCTCAAAGAGATTGCTTCTCAGTGATCATGGCCGCTTTACTCTATACAATGTCATCTCCAGAGACTCGCTCAAAGAAATTCGCAAGTCGCTAAAAGGAATTACTCCTGAGATCATGAACGTTTTACTCTATACAATGCCACCTTCAAAGACTCGCTCAAAGAAATTTGCAACTCGTTCAAAGAAATTACTCCTCAGAGATCATGACCGCTCTACTCTATACAATGCTATCTCCAGAGACCAGATGTTGCGCTGGTGATGAGTTTCCTGATCAGACCTCAGAAACCCAGCTCAAGGTCACGTGTTCTCCCGTCTTCAGTCGAAGTTTCTTGTTGTGTCAGGACGAATAACGCTTTGTCATCGTGAGTGAGGAGATCTCAAGAACCTGCGCTGCTCAGCCCTAATGTCCACGATGCCCTAATCATCGTGAGTGAGGAGATCTCAAGAACCTGCGCTGCTCAGCCATAATGTCCCCCTCTCCACGAGATAACGGCCCGACCCCTCCCCCCCCCCCCCCCGTAATCATCATCACAACAGGCTGCAGGAAACTGCAGGACTCCCCCACGCCCTACCCGCCGGAACGCAGGCTGATGCGTGGAGGCAGCTCCTCGGCACCCACTGACCTTGAACTTACGCCGGCTGGCCACCTGGCGGTCGCTGGACGAACTAAAGAGCGTATCACAGCGAATCGTGCCCGAGCGGCTGCGGTCCTGGCCGCGTGACAGCCTTACCGGACTGGCTAAACGCGTGCTGTATGGGCGCGGGATAGCGCGCGACGGATCCCAACTGAATCCCGCTGGGTACGGCGACCGGCTTTTCAAAACCGCCTCCCAGTTCAGTTGCCGACGGTGAAACCGGCCGCAGATTATCGCCAGAGGAATGCGAGCTGCCTCCCGAATGTCCGACAGGCCAGACAGCGCTATTTTAGATCATAGGGAAAGCCTATGATCCACATACCGGCCGGCCCGCGGCACGAAATAATCACCCGACCGAGTTCGCACAGTTTATCTTGACCTCCGTGCGGGATAAAAAGGTGCCGGTTCGTGCGGGTCCGCGGGTAAAAGCTTTTGACTCCGCCAACCAGGAGCAGATCTAAATCGTGGTGGAAAGAAAAAGCAGCCTCCTTGGCATTGGTGAGACCCGTGGCAGATACATTCCGCCAAATCGCTCTTGGGTACCAACCACGACGCTGCTTTTTTAGTGGGTAAGTGGTGATGTTTTTTATTCAAGGACCTTTCGGTACTCTAGCTCCCATCCATTACCCGTCGGCATCATCAGCAAACTGCTAGGCCCACCATCATCACACCATCAACGGCGTCATCATCCTGGTCACTAGCGGCTGGCCCACCTTCATGTACTGGTGGCACTTGTCCCTGACGTCCTGCACCGACAGCTTGGACCTGGCGTAGCCGATGACGCTGGTGTTCTCCGGCAGCAGCTTGTCGCGGTACAGCCACCAGATAGTCGGATAGATCTTCTTCTTGGCCAGGTCGCCCTGAAACAGACCCGCGTATCTCAGCAGCGACCAAGGGAGGTGACGAGCCCAGGACGCCGCCACTGCTGCGTCAGCTGACAGGCGCGGCTGATGGTGCGTTCGCTGTCCTCACTGAGCCTCGGTCGCGCTCCTGTTGGCCTGCGCTGCAGCGAACCCAGGAGTCGGCATTTCCGGCCGTGGGGAGGGGAGGGTCGGCCGCCCAGGAGCGCTCCTGATACGGATCGGCCCGGCCACAAACTAGCCTTGCTTAGCGCTATCTGATGCGGACGCGGCGAGCAAACCAAGCAGCGGCCGTCGGCCACGCTGGGTGGCTGCACTGGGGCGCCGGGTCCCACCCGCACGGTGGTCCAGAGGCCGGCAGAGCCTTCACCCGACCGGTCCTGATGCCCCAATCAAAAACATTCGAGTCAAAACCCACGATGAGATGAGGGAGCTCCGCTACGACTTACATAATGGTGATATGGATGGGAAACAGGGGTGATTGTTTGAGATAATGGCGAATGATTGATGCAAGGACTGGTACTGCACGAACACACTCATGCGTCGCTAAACTGAGTGAAAGCTTATGTCAATGGGTCGGTATGAACATGAATGCACGAGCAACTAGTCGTTACATGGACTAGTGATCACATGGATAAAGTGGCACGTGTTGCCACATCGTCAGCTGCGACGGCATCAGGCATGCAGAAAAAATAGGTTCATCGCATGCCGGGTTATCTGCGCTCTGAGCCGGGCCTTCCGTCCCAGACCGTCCCAGACCGTCGCCGGCTGCCGGCCGACCTACCCGACCCGCCCGACCCTGCCCCGGTTACCAACCGACGGGTGGTGTGGTGGCCGGCGGCTGCGGCCAGGGGTGGTGGGGGGGGGGGAGGGGCGCTTTCACAGCCGGCCCACCGTCAATCACGCCGTGCAAGCACGCCCCAGCGTCTCCCGGCAGCAGACCCGGGCTTGTCCGGGCTATAACGATCCGCCCGACACGGAGATCATCAGGCGGCTTGCCGGGAGCGGGGACAGACGGAATCTGGCGGCAGGGCTCACGGTGGGACACTGCCGGGCTTTGGTGGTCAGGGGCGGACAATGCCGGGGTTGGACCGTCAGCAGGGGCGACACTGTAGGGGTCTGGACAGTCAGGGGCGGTCAGGGGCGGTCAGGGGCGGACACTGCCGGGGTCTGGACGGTCAGCAGGAGCGGCCAGGGGCGGACACTGTCGGGTCCTGATGGTCAGGAGCGGACACTGTAGGGGTCTGGACAGTCAGGGGCGGTCAGGGGCGGACACTTCTGGGGTTTGGGCGGTCAGGGACGGGCACTGCCCGGGTCTGGACGGTCAGCAGGGGCGGCCAGGAGCGGACACTGCCAGGTTTTGATGGTCAGGGACGGGCACTGCCCGGGTCTGGACGGTCAGCAGGGGCGGCCAGGAGCGGACACTGCCGGGGTTTGGACGGTCAGGGACGGGCACTGCCCGGGTCTGGACGGTCAGCAGGGGCGGCCAGGATCGGACACTGCCAGGCTTTGATGGTCAGGGGCGGACACTGCCCGGGTCTGGACGGTCAGCAGGGGCGGCCAGGAGCGGACACTGTCAGGGTCTGGATGGTCAGGGGCGGACACTGTCAGGGTCTGGATGGTCAGGGTCGATCAGAGGCGAGTGTTCTGGACGGTCAGGGGTGGTCGGGGGCGGACACTGTCGGGTCCTGATGGTCAGGAGCGAGCACTGTCGGGGTCCGGACGGTTACACCAGAGGCGGAGCTGTCGGAACCCTGGAGGACACGACAGAGACCGCGGCTGCTAGCTTTCTAACGTTCCTCCCAGGAACGAGACAACGAGGAATGCGAGGCTACAGCACAGCCCGCTTTGCCGTTCCTCGTAATAGCATCCGTTCCTATAAGGCCACCTCCATGACCCGATCAGCCTTTTTTGTGTGGCTACACTTATGCAAGCGACCGGGCTGCGTGTGCGTGCCGGTCGAGGGGCTTACACTAAACCACGAGCGCCGCTCGTTCGCCGGCTGAGCCGCGTCTTCACCGGCGACGGCGATTATAAACAAATCACACGCTCGTTGGCGACGGACGCCCGGCGCCCGGTAACAGCGCGATCCGGCTTCGCCGGGGTGGCCGTAAGAGAGTGGGAGAGGTAGGTGCGGAGCGAGGTACGGCCAGGTGGTCACGCGCTGCTCTGATACATGGGGAACTGGGCGCACCGGCGGACAGCAGAGGGCGCTGAACGCACTGAACGAACGTACCCAGAGACTCGTCTCCAGTGGTCAGTGTCGTCCCCGGTAGCTAGCGGTGAGGTCATATGTCAATAAGTCGCATACGGATGGCTGTGAAATGGCAGTGCAGAACTGCGCGCAGCGTAGCTATCCCTGGCGTCGCACAACTGGGTTTTGACGGTGTTTAACAGTGAAGAGTGTGTCTTTGGTGGCATTGACGGGACAAGCGGAACTGAAGATACCGTGTCCGGTCCAGAGGGGACGAGCCACACCAGTACGCCGACTGAGAAGGGCGAGTTGCTTTCCCGGACGACTGAGTTTTCCCGGAAAGTTGAGAACATCGGTTGAAGTCTATGCAAGTGAATGCTAACGTCAGATAAAACCTTTTTAAATCGGGCAATGACGTCAGTCCATAAACAGTTTAATAATCCAGCATTTTCATCATTTAAGGTCCTCAATTAAGGCAAACTGTAAGCGCGCCCCGGAAGACCGAAACCCTCGGCAAAAATCATACAGCAGTGCTGTGAGGTCCTTTCTAGCTCACAAATCGGAGCAGTGACGGCCAACGAAAAAGACATCAGGGCAGCAGCATCCATCACCCACCCGCGTGGGACCGGCGCCCCGTCCGCGCCGTAACGCTCATCGACAAAACGTGACCAGGGCATTATGCCTCCGCGGCCTGCGGTAACTTCTCACGCGTACCCGCCTGAAACATTACGGCATCTATTTCTGATGCATAGACTGGCGCCCCACCTGCCTGTTTTGCATTTTTGTGCCGGCGAACGAGCGCGTTCAGGTTCTTTTTCACTGGTTCCGCCTCCGCACGTCTTTATAATCCCACCATCTGCTCCAAAAATCAGCGACAGCGGTGATATTCCGGTGTCAATGTCAGTTTTGCCCCTACTACCAAACGTCACACAAAAGCAGCATTCTTACAACATATTTTTAGGGCGTCGCGCGGCATACCAAACTCCGTTAACAAAGGTGGGAGCCAACCCGACTGCAAATTACCCCTATTCAAATCGCACGCCCTTCCGGTGCGATACAAGCCAGCCATACCAACGCTCTGCTCGCTTGTCGACTAACGCGTGCTTCCATGGCCGTCGCTACCCGTCGGGCCCAACGGAAAACAGGGATCGCATCTGTCGAGTGTTGGTCGTGAATGAGCGAGGCTGCCGACACTGAGGCAGAGCATGGGAGAGGGCATTGGGGTGGGCGGTGATGTCCTCGCCGAGGGTGGGGTGCGCTGGCCACGCCGCCACGGTGGCGTGCTGCCACAGCGGTACTTATGGCGGCAAGGCTCGTCACGAGTCGGATAAATATAGCGGTTGCGGATCATTGGATGTGTCGGACCGCGCTAGATCAGAAAAGTTCTGAGAATCTGAGAGGCAAGCAGAGCGCTTACATTTGATGTGAGGCTCGACTAGCACTAATGGACTGGCAGACATCGAAAAGTGCAATGCCAATTCGAGAGAGGTCACAAACATGTCCATCCTTTTATCCTGTCGGTAAGTTTTGCTACCGCCAGCAGAACGCGTGGATTGGATTTAAAACTGGAGGACTAACTGGATCAAACCGGATCCTGAGAACTCCGTTCACGAGGAACTTCCTCAAAAACAAGATGGTTCGTTCTCGATGCATCATGGGACTATGTCACAAGCCAGCCAGCCAACAGCAGTAACTCCTGTTGAAAACGCCTGTGCTGAAACTTAAATGACCGCCACAGAGAGCGGCTGTCGAGGAGTGACCGCAGACTCATCCCGACCTGACATGACACCACCTGTGACTATTGAAAAATATTGCATATTCAAGGTGGCGTCCGTGTTGCTCAGTTCTTTTCTTGCTCGTTCATTGCTAGTGCATCCCGACACCAATAAATGCTGATACTAATGCTAATTATCATTATCCCATACTGGCATAATATCTTTGCGATTTTGAAGGCCATGCAACTTCCACAAAGCTTTCACACAAACGGGACAAAATTACAGGAAAATGTGTTTCCATAATTTGGAGACCTCACGCACCAGTTCCAAAGCACACTGCGAGACGAAAAGCAAAAACAAAATCAGTAGATCGCCTACTAAATTCTGCAGGCATCATTTAAGGGATAATAGCTGCGATGCATCTCCCAAACATGTGCGCTCTCCACACCCACGGTATTTCCCGGACGTGAACACGGAACCGAGCGCCAATTCATCCAAATCGGCATGCGGTATGGCCGAAAGCGGACACGATAAGAGCGTGATCAGCTCTGATAAAGAATGTGTTGCACACGGCGAAACGATCATGGAGCCCGGAACGTTTAGCAGAGGTCACGCAAGGGCCATTTGTGCTAATGTCAGGCATTACTTACCAGCAGCACCGGAGGCGAGTCCATCGTTCTCATTAATTAGCGTACACACTCATAGAACGGGATCAGGATGTGAGGTCGCCAACCACAATAACAACAGCTTATACTGACCGAGGCACCGAGGATGACGAAGACGTGCGGCACGGTTCTGCCGAACTCCTTCTCGCCGGCCAGGCTCTCCCGAAATATGGCCAAGGTCGACTCCGGCGCTGCAAGAACAGGCCGGTTCTGGTTAGGAGTGCTGTTGGGGACAACAGCGCAGGCTCGCTGCCAGCCGCCCAAACAACGGCCAGCAATGGCACAGTGGCGAGAGGACGCAGAACGTGATCAGTCGGATGCAGACCCATCCAGTCCGATGAAAAAGCCTGTCGACATTTTTAGCGATGACATTGATTCTAGTACCAGGTAGAAGAAAGCATTTCGGTGGCTCCGTATTACCGCAAAAAATTTACACCAAGTTCACTACAGAGGGCTACAGACACGACCATCTTGTGAATGTCCATGGACGTGACACTGGGCCGAAGGGGTCAGGCTTATAACGCAAATGTATTAAGCGATGTATTTTGACAAGGGAAATGGCTACTAACTCGTGCACGAATAACCATGAACGTGGCTAGAAAGGTCATTCACAGCTTAAAACACGTTACCGGTACCAGCAGACTAAAACAGCTTTCATAAACGATGCTCCCTTTCCACAGATCATCGAAACAGCTAACCGCCCATTTGTATTCTAGTCATGCTTAGCCAACGAATACGCCACGGGACAGCGCGAGTGCTGTCGCTGCCGGTCAAGAGGCGGCGTAGGCCGACAAAGTTCCGCTCAGAGCCGGCGGCGCCGGAAGGACCGGCGCGCTCGGCCGGACGCCGATAAACCAGAACATCCCGCGAACACGCCCGGCGAGTCCCGGCCGAGACGGGAGGCGGGGGTACACGACCCTCGAGACCGCGCTCACCACCCAGAGCCCGGCGGAGCGCGACAGCACAGCTTAACCAGAACATCCCGCGAGCACGCCCGGCGAGTCCCGGCCGACACAGGAGGCGGGGGTACGCGACCCTCGAGGCCGCGCTCACTACCCAGAGCCCGGCGGAGCGCGAGAGCGCAGCTGCCCGCAACCCTTCCCGCACGGAGGATTCTGAACCGAACGACGGGGTTGAGGTCTATACGCGCCAAAAAAGACATCCTCCCGAAGCCGGCTGTAAGACGCAGCTGAGTCGGGGTTTTCGCCGATAAGGTCACGGGTCGTGAGACGGTCGCTCACGTGCTGACAGCGTGGGATGAAGCCTTTGCGTGAGCAGACGTTAACCCGAGCAAGCGACGCGCCGACCACTTCCAGCGTGCGGCCCAGAGGTCACGGGTGGGGTCACAGGTCAGACCACAAGTCGCCTCGGGAGAGGGGTGTCGTGTTCGCGCGTGGGGGCGGCCGCGGTCGGCGTTCGCAGCTTCTCACCCAGCCGCGACCCCCACGTAGGTCACAGAACACTGCACAGATGGTGTCGGCGCCGGCGCCGCCATAAACTCAGCGCGTCACGAACTAAATCAAAACGGTGTCTGTACCTGCGCAACGATCACGCCTCGGTTATTTCACTCGTCTGAAGTGATGAGAGCGTAATCATCACGATAAAAAAGTTTCGAAGGCGTTTGTGGTGAGGAAGGACAGGACTGAGCGTATACACGTTGCATCAACGGTAGAATATAGACGGCACGACAACAAACAAATATAAATAAATCTATACATACATATATATATATATATATATATATATATATATATATATATTATCACTTTTGCCGAACGTTTTTAACACACCGCTTACCACTCTTCCGGTACTGACTCTGGCTCTGCGCATTACTGAGCACCATAAATATGAGTCCAGCCGACTGGTGGGAGGAAGCCTTGGTGGCCCCAGTGTGGTTTTGGTGGTGGCTCCAGTGTGCTTTCCTTGGCCACTCAGGTGCACGTGCAGAACAGAGCGTGTTTAGGCAGTGGCCTTTCAATGCTACGGCTCAATACTAGGCGCCCGCGCACGTGTTCTAACCTTTGATAGCCTCTTTTGATGACCTTTGATAACTGTCGACCAACAGAGTCCTAGGTAGTCAATAATAGCTTTAAAAAACATCCGTCAAGCTGATTTATGTTCACCCACGTACTATAAACGACGAGCAAAACTCTGTAGACATGACAATTATAAGTGAAGTATCCATCCTCCGCATTCCAACCTCCGTAATGATCGTTTCCCTGCCTTCGTTTTACGCGTGCAGTGACTATTGTTATTAATGCCACGGACACCCGTAAGAAAATCACAAATGGCATAACCAGAATACTACATAGTGTCATAATCAATGAAATGCTCGCGCAGTGTCAAACCGAGCTCGGCTTTCTCGCACCGGAGTCTGAAACGAAGCTGAGCGCTTCCCCTACTTCCATCAACCCAGTCCAAAACTTGCTAGTCAGCGCCTTGACCTTTCACAGAACCGGCTCGTTCACACCGTTGGAAACACGATGTGTCGGCCGGAAGAGGTGACCCGGATCGCTCCTGGGGTGGTGACCCAGTGAGGGCCTTCCCTCGCTCTGTCCCGACCGAGGACGTGGCCGTCCGACAGCAGCAGCCGCCTGGCCAGAGAGACGTCGCCCCACTCCACAGAGTCCCACAGCTGGTACCAGGGACACCTGCAGACCATCCCAGCGAGGCCGACCGGCAGTCCCGTCCGCACACCTGAGCCAGTGGCTCCCTGGCCATGGGACCAAACGGCAGCAGCTTTTGTAGTACTATAGCGTGCAGAGACCTTTAAAAGCTGCGTTAGGTCCGACAAACGAACGGAAAAGACGACAAAAAAAGACGTGAACATTTTTCAAAAGTAAAATATTTCATTGTGGCAAATCCGATGGCGCTGAGCAGCCCGCAGTTTTGAACTGACCCAGGGCACTGACACGACTCCGATAAACGCAGCACTGCGGCCGTAGACGCACTGAACGAGGGCATACCATTGACACGCTAGTCGTGCTCACTATCGATATTAGATCAGCGAGGCATGCCATTGTTTGGCTGCACTGTACAGCCTATCTCCGGCCATATCTACCCTGTAGACGGACATGGTTCGCTGACGCTGCGCCACGATCAGCTGTGGTCGCAGCAGCCGCTTGTCCAGCGCGTGGACGTGACCTACCGCAGCAGAATCTGGATATGGATACGGCCCCCAGTACCACCGACGTCGAGGGCTTACACCCAACATCAAACAGCACCAGGGGTGGTATGACGCGCTTGGCCAGTCGGATAGTGCTCTGATAAGGAGACCGTCCTCAGTCGTTTCCGCCGTCACCGATGTCATATCGTGGCGTCGAGTGAAGGGCGCGTGAGAGTGCGCCGGTCAAGAGGGAACGACGCCGAGGGGCGAGACCGTCCTCAGTTGCCACCGCCGTTACCGATGTCGTGTCATGGCGTCGAGTGAAGAGCACGCGAGAGTGCGCCGGTCAAGAAGGAGCGACGCCGAACATTAGTAATGGTAAATGACCCTCCACAAAAGACGACCTCCAAAGCTCATAATCTGCACTGACATCATCATCAAAGCCTGCACCCATGTCGAATATAATAACAGCTTGCGCGTAAGGCCAATGCCGCAAATGTCACGCAAGTAAACGACTAAAGAACCGCTTATGGCGGCACGACAGCGTTTCCAACACATTTGGAGCGCCAGCACCATGACCAACACACCTCCTGATAAGATCTGAAGGCCATGACTCAATCCGCATCGCACTTGCCCACCAGCACGGGCCGTTTCCCCGCGTCATGCTGATCAGTCACATGACGTCAGGCGAGGTCGAGGACAGACCATCAATGTGCGGCGGTCTGGGTGCAGCGGTCTGGGTGCAGCGGTCTGAGTGCGGCGGTCAGTGTACGGCGGCTGTGTGCGGCGGTCTGTGTGTGGCGGTTTAAGTGCGGCGGTTTGTATGCGGCAGTCTGAGCGCGGTGGTCTAAGTGCAGCGGTCTCAGCTGCTCAGTCGGCGGTCTAAGTGCGGCGGTCTGTGTGCGGCAGTCTAAGTGCGGCGGTCTGTGTGCAGCGGTCTGAGTGCGGCGGTCTGTGTGCGATGGTCTGAGTGCGGCGGTCTGTGCGCGGCAGTCTGAGTGCGGCGGTCTGTATGCGGCAGTCTAAGTGCGGCGGTCTGTGTGCAGCGGTCTAAGTGCGGCGGTCTGTGTGCAGCGGTCTAAGTGCAGCGGTCTGAGTGTGGCGGTCTAAGTGCGGCGGTCTGTGCGCAGAGGTCTGAGTGCGGCGGTCTGTGTGCGGCGGTCTGAGTGCGGCGGTCAGTGTGCAGCGGTCTGAGTGCGACGGTCTGAGTGTGCTGATCGCGACTGGCCCGCCACCATGTGTGCAAGGAAAAACGGATTGTTCCACTTGCACTCAACACCGCTGCCATTCTTCAATACGCCGCAAAATTATTGATACGAGCAGCCACATACCTCTTCCGAGTTACGTACGTCGCCCATGCGCTCATTTAATTACCACCAAGACACAGGCCGGCGCGACCCCGGCTCTTATCATGTTCCAGCCATCTGCACAACGCAACCGACACACTCCTACGAACGCCACTACAGACCAGGCCGGCACCATACACCGATGGTCAGGTGCAGCGTTACTAACTCAACTTCCACCCCATGCGTGAGATGGACCGGGATGCACCGCGACGGTGGGCCAGGCACCGTCCCACTACCAGGGAGTCGACCGAGACCGAGACTACCAGGGAGTCGACCGAGACCGAGACTACCAGGGAGTCGACCGAGACCGAGACTACCAGGGAGTCGACCGAGACCGAGACCACCAGGGAGTCGACCGAGACCGAGACTACCAGGGAGTCGACCGAGACCGAGACTACCAGGGAGTCGACCGAGACGGAGACTACCAGGGAGTCGACCGAGACCGAGACTACCAGGGAGTCGACCGAGTCAAGTGCACCGTCCCACTACCAGGGAGTCGAGCGAGACCGAGACTACCGGGGAGTCGACCGAGTCACGTGCCGGAAGCTCCGCCGGAAGACCTCGGGGGACCACAATCAGCGGCGGACGAAACATCGAGCACGGACGGGGGCGCCTTACGGACCCAGTCCCGGAGGTCGGCACCTGCTAGTTTGCAGCCCTGTCCTCCGGTTACGTAATGTCGGGGAACGTGGCTTACATCTTAGGCACCAACCGCATCCCATTATCGGCCGGCTGCTTG